ATCACATGCCCAGCAGCCCCACGGAAGCGGCCTGGCTGGGGGGATAAGGGCCCAGAGGTCCAGGAGGGCAGGACCTGCCATTGCTTTTGTCCCATATCAGTTTGTTTTTGCTTTTAGGGAAGAGATGGCTACAAGCAGATGAGCTTTCGAAGGCCAGAACAGTAGGAGCTGAAGGTATGGCCATGCTGCCCATGCTAGGACCTGTCAAAGGCTAAGTGGGGGTGAGGCAGCAGCCAAGGCCTGGGGAGTGACCTGCTTGACCCAGCCCAGCAGTAGCTGAGATGGGGACTCATCTATCTGCTCTGCACATTCAGAGGTGAACTTGGCAAGATAAGCACTTTGGAGAAGCTGCCTGCTCTTGCCAGATATTAAAAAGGTTCAGGGGACAGTGTATCCCCAGGTCTGGGGAGAAACGCTTGTCATTCTGTTATCTCTTCTCAGCAAGAATCCCTCTGTGAAAACTGGTTGGTGTTAATTGTTTAAATGAAGTTGGGCTTATGATATATGATTGTGATGGAATACTATTGTGCTCTGAGAAATGATGAGCAGGATGCTCTTGGAACAACCTGGAAAGACTCACATGAACTGATGCAGAGGAAAGGGAGCAGAACCAGGAGAACACTGTACAAGGCAACAGCCACACTGTGCAATGATTAACCATGAATGACTTAGCTCTTGTTGGCAACACAAGGATCTAAGACAATTCTAAAGGGACCTAAGTGCTCTCTGCCTCCAGGGAGAGAGCGGAGGGAGTCTAAATGTAGATCCAAACCAGGTAGGATTTATACCAGGAATGCAGGGTTGGTTCAATATTAGGAAAACTATCAGCATCATTGAGCATATCAACACCAAAACCAACAGAAACCATATGATCATCTCAATAGATGCAGAAAAAGCTTTTGATAAAATACAACACCCATTCCTATTAAAAACACTAGAAAGCATAGGTATAAATGGAGTCTTCCTTAAAATAATAAATAGCATATATCTAAAACCTTCAGCAAGCATTATATGTAATGGGGACAGGCTAGAAGCATTTCCAATAAGATTGGGGGTGAAACAAGGATGTCCATTATCACCACTGTTATTCAATATTGTACTGGAAACGTTAGCTTTAGCAATAAGAGAAGAAAAAGAAATTGAAGGCATTAGAATAGGCAAAGAAGAAACAAAGCTATCACTCTTTGCAGATGACATGATGATATACTTAGAGAATCCTAGAGAATCAAGTAAAAAACTACTTGAAATAATAAACAACTTTAGCAAAGTTGCAGGCTATAAAATAAACCCACATAAATCATCAGCATTTCTATATATTACCAACAAAGCCCAACAGCAAGAGATAGAAAGATCCCATTTAAACTTACTGTAGACATTATAAAATATTTAGGAGTCTACCTCCCGAAACAAACCCAGGAACTCTATGAACACAATTACAAAACACTTTTCACACAAATAAAATCAGATCTAAATAACTGGAAAAACATCAGTTGCTCATGGGTAGGCTAGCTAATATAATAAAAATGACAATCCTACCTAAGCTAATTTACTTATTCAGTGCCATACCAATCAAACTACCAAAAATTATTTTATAGAGTTAGAAAAAATAATAACATTCATTTGGACAGAATATCAAAGGAACTAATGAAAAGAAATGCAGGGGAAGGTGGCCTAGCAATTCCAGATCTTAAATTGTATTATAAAGCAGCAATCATCAAAACTGCTTGGTACTGGCTAAGAAATAGGGAGGTGGATCAGTGGAATAGGTTAAATATGCAAGACACAGTAGTCAATGACTATAGTAATCTATTATTTGATAAACCCAAAGACCCCAGCTTCTGGGATAAGAACCCATCTTTGAAAAAAACTGCTGGGAAAACTGGAAAAGAGTATGGCAGAAACTAGGCATAGACCCAAATCTCACACCATATACCAAAAAAAGTCAAAATGGTTCAGACTTAGATATAAAGGCTGATACCATAAGTAAACTGGGAGAACAAGGAATAGTTTACCTATCAGATCTATGGAGAACAGAAGAATTCATGACCAAACAGGAGATAGAGAACATTATGAAAAGCAAAATGGATATTTTGATTACATTAAATTGAAAAGTTTTTGCACAAACAAAGCCAATGCAACTAAGATTAGAAGGAAGGTAGAAAATGGGAAAGAATTTTTACAACCAGTCTCTCTGATAAAGGCCTCATTTCTAAAATATATAGAGAATTAAGACAAATTTATAAGAACACAAGCCATTCCCCAATTGATAAATGGTCAAAGGATATGAACAGACAGTTCTCAGATGAAGAAATTAAAGCCATCTTAGTCATATGAAAAAATGCTCTAAATCGTTATTGATTAGAGAAATGCAAATCAAAACAACTCTGAGGTACCACATCACACCTATCAGATTGGCCAACATGACAAAACAGGAAAATGATAAATGTTGGAGAAGATGTGGGAAAATTGGAACACTAACACATTGTTGGTGGAGTTGTGAAATGATCCAACCATTTTGGAGAACAATTTGGAACTATGCCCAAAGGGCTACAAAAATGTGCATACCCTTTGATCCAGCAATAGCACTTCTAGGGCTATATCCCAAAGAGATCAAACAAATGGGAAAAGGACCACATGTACAAAAATATTCATAGCAGCTCTTTTTGTGGTGGCAAAGAATTGGAAATTGAGAGGATGCCCATCAATTGGGGAATGGCTGAGCAAGTTGTGGTATATGAATGTAATGGAATACTATTGTGCTATAAGAAATGATGAACAGGCTGACTTCAGAAAAACCTGGAAAGACTTATATGGTCTGATGCTGAGTGAAGTGAGCAGAACCAAGAGGACTTTGTACACAATAACAGCCATGTTATGCATGACTAATATTGTTAAACTGAACCCTTCTCAGCATTACAAGGATCTAAGACATCTCCAGAGGCCTCAGGATGGAAAATGCTGTCCACATCCAAAGAAAGAACTATGGAAGTAGAATCGCTATCACTTATTTTTACCTTCTGTTGAGTTTTGTTTCATCTTTCTGATGGTTCCTCCTATTGGTTTTAATTTTTACTTACAACTTCACTAATGTGAAAATATGTTTAATAGGAATGTAAATGTAAAGCCTATATCAGATTGTGTGCTGTCTTGGGGAGGGTGTGGGGGGAGGAAGGGGGAGAAAAATTTTCAACTCAAAAGCATGTGGAAGTGATTGTTGATAAATCAAAATAAATTAATAAAATTAAAAAAAAATAAATGTAGATCCAAGCAGACATTTTCACTTTCTTTATTTTTCTTGTTTGTTTGTTTCTTTGTCTGTGTTTTCTTTTATAACATGACTATTAGAGAAACATTTTTGCCTGCCTGCGCATATGCAACCTAGATCAAATTGCCTGCCTTCTCAATGAGTGGAAAGGGGAAAGAGGGAGGAAGAGAATAGGGAACTCAAAATTAAAAAAAAAAAAGAATGGTATTGTTTTTACAAGAAATTGTGAAAGTAAGATAATTTTTAAAATGAAACTGGGCACCAACACACCTAATAGTGTCTCGAGTCCATAACAACAGAATCACCCCAACTCTTCGGTGACAGACCTAGAACCCTGATGGGGAGATGAAGGTGGCAGAGCTCCAGAGACCTGACCTGCTTGTGTACTTGTGGGCTAGAAAAGTAAGTCCAGAGCCTGGCTATATGAAAATTCTTTTTTTTTTCTTTTTTGGCTAGGCAATGGGGTTAAGTGACTTGCCCAGGGTCACACAGCTAGTAAGTGTCAAGTGTCTGAGGCCGGATTTGAAGTCACGTCCTCCTGACTCCAGGGCCGCTGCTCTATCCACTGCACCACCTAGCTGCCATTTATATGAAAATTCCGTGTCTCATCCCCAAAACAGACAAAGATCCAGCCTGTGAATCTGGACCTGATGATTCCCTGGGCACAACTGAGTTAAGCCAATGGTGTCATGAGAAAAGAGGCTTGGGATGAAGGCACCACACTTGCTCCTAAGGGAGAGGCACAGGGAAGGTGTTAACCAAGAGAAAGTCCTGACCAGGCAGAAGGAGGAGGCATTTGCTAAGCCCTCACTGTGCCAGGGGCTGCGCTGAGCACTTTCCAAACATTATCTCCTTGGAGCCTCTCAGCAGCCCTGGAAGGTACATGCTGTTATTGTCATCCCATTTTACATTGGAGGAAACTGAGAAGACAGTGACCCCCCCCCAGGGGTACACAGCTAGTGTCTGAGGCCAGATTTGAACTCACTCCAGGTCCGGTGCCCTACCCACTGCACCACCCAGTTGCCTAGAGGCCCAGAGACTGCCCAAAGGAATGTCTGGCCATCCAAGAAGAAGGGGTGATTGTTCCGTTTGCCTGGGGCTGCTCCATGTGGTGAGGGCGTCTGGATTGCCCAATACAGTGCTGGGACACTGCCCTTGGCAGCCTCCTTACTGAGGCTGCCTGAGAGCATCAATGCGTGTTCTGTGGGCAGCCCTTACTGCCCTATGAGCCCCATCTCTCCATCTAGATCATAATCCGTGCATGAGATACTTTGTCTCAGGCTTTCTTTCTTGAATTCTAGGCAAGTCCTGTGGGGAGGGAGCATTTCCTCAGTCTGGCCTGACCTGCACCCTCAGAAGCTGCACTGCCTTGTTCTTTTCTCGATCCAGCTCCTGCCCAGCTGCCAAAGCCCAGGGTAACCACCAAACAGGGGAATCTGGCTACTAGGGTCCAAACTATGGGACCCCGGGGAGAAGGGAGTGCTCCGGCTTAGACTCTGTGATTGAGAAGGACAGGCCTAGGCTGAGACGAAAACGAGAAGCGAAGGTAACCAATTCCAAAGCATTCAGAGACAGGAGACCTAGAATTCTGTAAGCTGAACCAGGCCCAGGGGATGGAAAACACAAGAATGAGACTGTGAAGGCTCAGAGAGAAACGAGGGGGCACCTGGAGGGATGGGCATGAATGGGCAGGGAGCTTGGGGTCTTCTGCCTAAGAGAACATGGAAACACTGACCTTAGGTCCGTTTGGGGTTTAATGATTGGTCAGACCCAGAGAACAGTGGTGTGTCCACTTGGAAGGAAGGTTCTAGCAGAAGGCCACGGGATGCTCTCCTCAACACAAACCTCGTCAGTGCTTGAATGATGGCATGCTGATCAAATTTTCAGATGGCCTGAATATGGTCCAGCCTGCTGACATGGCAAAGTGCCACGAAGGAAGCGTCACAAGAATCCCGCCCCAGCATTCCCAAGGCTTCATCTCAGGGATGCCCCCTCCCCTTCTGCTACAGGGCTGGGGGTCTGGAGGTACAGAGGGGTCTTGGGCTTCCCCCCCCCCCGGATGCAGAAACAGAGTGCTAATGGGCTTGGAGGTCAGCCCTGACATTTGGTAGGTGTCATTTAAAAGGGGCCTATTTAGGGGGCAGCTAGGTGGCACAGTGGATGGAGTACCAGCTCTGGATTTAGGAGGACCTGAGTTCAAATATGACCTCAGACACATGACACTTACTAGCTGTTTGACCCTGGGCAAGTCACTTAACCCCATTGCCTAGACACCCCCCCAAAAAAGGGGGGGGCTATTTGCTCATCTCTAACAAGGAGATAAGGATGCTGTCACGGGAGGGGTGTGGTCAGGTGTAACTCATGGCATCAAGAGCTGGAAAGGGCTCAGCAATCATCACCTCCTCCTCCAGGGAGCAGACAGGCTTCCAATCTGGTGCCAAACCATCTATTAACTCCTACTATGGGTCAGGGGCATTGCCAGGATGGGAGAGGGGTGCCAGGACAGAAGAAGCAACAGTCCCTGCTCTCCAGGGTGTGCCCAGCAACAGGCAACTGCCCCTGTGGGAGGGGCTGGAAACCACAGAGGCAGAGTTTTGGTCCTTGTTCCAGAATCTAGGACTGGAGGGGCCCGGCAGCGGCCTGGACCTATTTTCATACAAAGAGGGTTCTGTCTCACTGGGGGTGGGGGTGGGGGTCTGCTTAAGGACCCCCAGGGAGAAGGACGAGGAGGATGGCTGGGAGGCGACCAGCCTCTGCCTGAAGACCCCCAGGAGGAGGAGGAGGGGGAGGTGGGGAGGCGTGTCCAGCCTCTGCCTGCAGACCCCCCTGGGGAGGAGGAGCAGGGGTGGGGGGCGTCCAGCCTCTGCCTGAAGACCCCCAGGGACGAGGAGGAGGAGGGGGAGGGGGAGAGGCGTGTCCAGCCTCCACCACCTCTGCCACCACTGCGCAGCCCCAGTTTCAGCAGCTGGACAGCTCTCAGTGATCTCTACTGTCAGGCCCAAATCTGGGGCTACTCACTGCCCCTTTCCCTTCCCCAGCCTTCTTTTCTTCAGGCCAGACACACCCCTATTCTTCATCAGTCCTCCAGGGCAGGTGGAGTCCACCTCTTAATCATCTACCGCAGCCCAAAGTGATTCTGGGGCTTTGGCCCCTTCTCGCTTTGTCCCGTCCCGTCCCTTGGACACGCTCTAAGCTTGTGGTCCACTAGGACCCCCAGATCATTTTTAGAACTGATGACCTCTAAGCCCCGCCCCCTTGTGAAAGCCATTATTTGCACCCAAGGGTTGTGAACTGCGTCAGCCATCCTCGTCCAAGCCACTTGATCAGTGCGTCACACCGCCGACGGCTAAGTACAGAGCCCTGTGGTACTCCACTGGAGACCTAGGGCGCAAGGGATCCCCTGGGGAATTACTGAAGACACTTTTCCTCCAACCCAGGTCAGGGACGCTTGTGGCGGAAATGGCCTCTCGACGGCCCACCCACACTTCCGTCTACGCATGCGCGCCTCCTGAGTGGGCGGGGCCTAGCGGCGGGCAGTGCCTCCTTTGCATCATCTCCCCTTGCCGGAAGCGCGCTCCCTCGCAGCCTCCTCCACGTGGGCCCCGGTGTTGCATCAGATCTCGGCGGGCAGCAGCGGGGGAGGGGAGGACAGGGCGGAGAAGGGGGTGGGGGTCTGGCCTGGCGAAGGAGGGAGGGGCGGCCCGGCCCGCCCTGCCCCGCCCCTCTGTCCTCTCCTCGCCTTCCCCCGCCCCTCTGTCCTCTCCTCGCCTTACCCCACCCAGGCCCTGAGATCTAGAGCCTGCGGCCCCCTCCCATCGCCAGCGCAGTCTTGACGAACTCCGTCATCAGGGATAAACTGAGGCCCCGCCATGTGCGGCATCTGGGCGCTATTTGGCAGCGACGAGGGCCTGCCGGCGCAATGCCTGAGCGCCATGAGGATCGCCCACCGGGGCCCCGACGCCTTCCGCTTCGAAAATGTGCGCGGCTTCACCAACTGCTGCTTCGGCTTTCACCGGCTGGCCGTGGTGGACCCCGTGTCCGGCATGCAACCCCTCCGCCTGCAGAAGTTCCCCTCCTTGTGGCTGTGCTACAACGGCGAGATCTACAACCACCGGCAGGTGAGGAACCGGGGCAGGGGGCCGGGCACCTTCCGTCACACTGGGCGAAAGGTGGGGGGCTGGGGGCACTCGCCATCGCGCCTTCGGTTCGAACTCGGAGGGGAAGGGGGACATTTTTGCCTTTGGCACCCCCGTTCTTCCTGTCCTCTGGGCTCCCTACTCTTTCCACTGAGTATCCAATATGGTACCAAGATCTGCCCATTTCACCTCTGCTCGCTGCATCTGTGGTCCATTTCACTTGTGCTACGTCTGTGATCTATTTCACTGGCCCTACATGTCTGGTCAATTTAACCCCTCTAGCATCTCTGGTCAATTTCGCCTCCTTTACATCTCGGGTCGATTTCACCGCCCTTACTCTCTTTCAAAAACACCCCTTTTTCTCTGCGCTGACCCTGCGATGGGGGTGGGGGGAAGAGGCATCCCCGAAAGGGACTTTCTTCACCTCAAGCCTGGACTGTTGCTGTAGCTGCTGCTGGCGGGCGGGGGTGGAGGTGAGGGTGGGGGGCGGGCGCGGTGTCTTCCTGCTTCACGCCTTTCCCCATTCAGACACTAAATAATTTTCCTAAAATGTGGGTCTGCCCATGTCACCTAACTATTGCATAAACTGCAGTAGTTTCCTCTCGCCCCTGGGAAAAAATACCAAATGCTCCGCTTGGCCCTTCGTCAGCAAGTTCCCTCCTCCCCTCCCTTTCTGATCTTCTCACACCTCACTCTTGACACGTCCTCTTCCATCCAGTGACCTCGGCCTCTTGGCTGTTACATGAACCAGATCCTCCTTCTCTCTGTCTCACCATTCTCTCTGGCTGTCCTCCATGCCTGGAAAGCCCTCTTCCCTTTCGAAGGACTACTGATCTCCCTGGTTTCCTTTAAGTCCACCTTCTCCTGGAAGTCTTCCCCAATCCCCGTAATTCCAGTGCCTTCCTTCCCTTCTCTTCTTTCCCATTTGCCCTGTCTGTTGCTTGCTTTGTACCTAGCTGTTGCGTGGTCTTCCACTGTTAGATTGTGAAACACTTGAGGGTAGGGACTGTCTTCTGCCTCTTTTTGTATTTAGGGAGCGTCTCACTCTTCACTGAATTGAATTTGGCTAGCAGCCCACCCTGGGGCTGATTGAATGGACCCCCTCAGGGCATTTGTTTTGGCTCTGGCTTTGCCTGGGTCATATCTTATGCTTCACCCTTAGCTTCCAACCCTCTTAGTCTACGAGGCAGATTGGTTTCATCAGCTTTGGTTTCATCTGACACTTCAGTCTTGGAGGCTTACGCCCTCTCCCCGCCCCCTTCTTGGCCCAATCACAGGTGCTTACTTAGCTCTACTCTGCTATGTGCGGCCCCTGGCTGTTTCCCTGCCTTTGTTCTCTGTGGTGGGACTGGGGAGCTTCTGGGTGCAGCCTGTCCTAGCCCCTTCCTCCCCTGCCCTCCCTCCCTCCCTCCTTCCTTCTTCCTCTCCTACTCCTTCCTTCTCCCTCCCCTCCTCTCTTATCCTCTCCTTCTTCCTTTTCCCTCCCTTCTCCTCCCCCTTCTTCCTTCTCCCTCCCCTCTCCTCCTTCCTTCTACCTTCCCTCTTTCTCCTTCCTTCTCCCTCTACTCCCTTTCCCTTCCTCTTCCTTCTCTCCCTCCTTCCTCTCCCTCCCCTCCTCTCCCTCCCCTCTCCTCCCCTCTTTCCTCTCCCTTCCTCCCGCTCTTCCTCCTCCTTCCTCCTCCTCCCTCCCCTCTCCCTCCCCCCTTCTTGTCCACTCCCCCTCTTCCTTCCCTGCCTGCCTTCCTTCCTCTCCCTCCCTTCCCTCCTTCCTCTCCCTCCCCTCTCCCTCCCTTCTCCTCTCCCTCCCTCCCCCTCCTTCCTCTCCTTCCCTCCCCTCCTTCCTCTCCTTCCCCTCCCTCCCCTCCCTCTCCCTCCCTTCTCCTCTCCTTCCTCTCCCTCCCCTCTTCTCCCCCTCCTTCCTCTCCTCTCCCTCCCTCCTCCTCCTTCCTCCTCCTCCCTCCCCTCTCCCCCCTTCTTGTCCACTTCCCTCTCTTCATTCCCTCCTGGGCATTCTCCCCTCAGAAATGGCCGAGTGGGATTGGTTGGACCCCTCCCCAGACTTAGGGCCGAGGACGGTGCCCGAGGTGGCTCCTAGAGGCACCGAGGCTGCTTCCCTCCTTGCTCATCTGCCATGTATGGATTGTGCTGAGGCATGGGAGGGCTGGTGCCAGGATACGTGGGCAGGGAGGAGGGGCAAATAAGGCCCCTCAGGAAGAGAGGCGGGAACAAGCATTTATGTGGCACCTATGGAGTACCAGGGACACAAAGGCAGATGGCGCTGATCATGCACTTAGCCCCTCTGCCACACACCTTACACCACAGCCCTGCAGAGTTGGTGCTGTTTTTACATTTGCCCATAATACAGCTGGGCACATCGAGGCAGATGACGGTGTGACTCACCCAGGGTCACCCAGCTGATTAGGGAGCTGAGGCCTCCTGTCTCCAGGTCTGACGCTCCAGCTACCGTGGGACCCCATGGCCTTGAGTGGAAGTGACATGGGCCGCGAAGGGAGGGTAGGCACAGGGCAGCTCAGGGATCCTTCATGGCCCCAGACTTCCTGTTCTTCCAGGCCCTGGTCACCCGGCAGCCCAGCTCAGGTGCCATGTTTCTTTGGCTGCCCTGAGCTGGTGACGTGGGGTTGGCTGCAGCCAGCTCCTGCTCTGGGGTCTCCAGCCTGTGCCCCCCCAGTCTGGGCAGGTGGCACTGTAGGCCCTGGTTGGAAGTGGGGGGAGGAGGAGAGGGTAGGCCAGTCTTGTTTCCAGAAGCCAGGACTGGCAGGTGCTGCGCACTGAGCCTCCCCACCTGTGTCCGATTTCCCCCCTTAGCTACAGAAGCACTTTGGGTTTGAGTACCAGACGCAGGTCGATGGGGAGATCCTGCTCCATCTTTACAACAGAGGCGGCATTGAGCAGATGGCCCCCATGCTGGATGGCGTGTTCGCCTTCATCCTGCTGGACACCGCCAACCGCAAGGTGTTCCTGGGCAGGGACACTTTCGGTGTCCGGCCGCTGTTCAGAGTGCTGACGGATGAAGGATTTCTGGCCGTGTGCTCAGAAGCCAAAGGTAGAATCGGGACGCGGAAATGATGGCAGCCTGGATGTGGTCATCTGGCTTGTGGATGTGAACATGTGCATTGTATGTGAATGTGTGCATACGTGAGCCTGCATGTATGTGTGCCTGCGTATTGTATGAATGTGTGCATGTGCGTACTTTGTGCACACGTGTGTGTGTGTGCCTGGGGAGAAGGGCTGACATCCCCCATTTGAGGGAGGACCCAGCAGACCCCCTCAGAGGGTACAGGAGGGTAGGTGCCCAGATGCCACCAGCCACGTTCCTCAAGGCAAGGCTGACACCCGGAGGCTCCAGTGTGGCCCAGGCCAGACGTGGGCTTTCTTGGCCCCTCAGATCCCAGTGGACCCAGGGTGGGGCCGTCCTGCACTCACCCCTCATTAGCTGGTCCAGAGATCCAGGATCAGAGGCAGCTCGGTGGCTCAGTGGTCAGCATTCAGGGTTTGGAACAAACCAAAGGATGTGCTACCTCAAGTTTATTGGGTCTGAGTGTCTTCTACTTCCACTTGGAGCAGGATGGCTGAAGATGTGGGCCTGGCCCATCCAGCTGAGGGAGGGTCCTGACCGCCAGACCTCTGGGGGGATGTGTCCTGACCGCCAGACCTCTGGGGGGATGTGTCCTGACCGCCAGATCTCGGGGGGGGGTGTTCTGACCACCGGACCTCTGGGGCAGGGGGCAGTCCTTTCTTGTCAGGTATCACTGTGTTCAACTGTGTGAGTCTGAACAAGGTCTAGGTGTGACCCCACCAGCCTGGCCTCTGTTGACACAAGCCTCTCCCCCATGAAGAGAGTGAGTGCGTTCAGGTGGCACCTTATAGTGGCGTGGGTTCCACTGTCCTGTCCTGTCAGGCCACAGTGGAGACTCTAGCTCTGGGAATGTCATTTTAGGAAGGGCACGGTGGGAAGGCTGGCATGTCTGGGACAGGGCTCCCTGGCTCTCTGACCAGAAGCTCCCTGGTGTGTGCAGGGTTGACTCTAGGCCAGATGCTGCTGCCTTCAGGACCTTCCCATAGCGAGGGCCTGGGGCTGGCCCTGGCCCAGGGCAGGCTGGAGCCTTGCTGGGTGTGAAGGGTATAGCCCTGTAACCCACCCAGACCAAATAAACATGCGCCTTCACTGGCAGGGGGAAGGCAAAGCCTGCTGGTCTTGGCAGGCACCGTGTATCCTCAGCCCAGAGCAGCAGTGCATGGGGCCTTGGCCTTGGCCAACGCCCCATAAATCCAAAGGACAGTCTAAT